TTGCCAGAACATTGGTCTAGTATCCTGAAGGACATGGATTAAACAGTTTTTTTTTATAACTATAAGGTTAAATTTATATCTTAAAATCCTTGGGTTTAAGTAATAAACTTCTGTCCTGATCAGGCCAAGCGGCCAAGGGTTATATTGTACTGTTACATTGCACAGGGTGCAATGAATTGTTAGGGAAAATTTCAGCTTTTTTTAGATATAAGGATTTAGGGAAAATATTAGCTTTTTTAGGTTTAGGAAATTTAACGAGGTATATATACAGGGTAGTCCAATAAGCGCGCCTCGGTCAATAGTAGCCGAACCGTTGAATTTATGGAAAAATGTTCTATATAAAAGTTTTAGCATTTCATCTCTGCTATAACCCAAAATTATTTTCAAGTATACAGGGTGTCTCAAAAAAGAGTAATCACAAATTTTATGTTTTTTTTTTAAATGGAATATCGTATGTTTTTCTATGGCAAATAAAGCCTCTATATGCTCTGTATTCAACTTTAATATTTTAAAATTTGGGTTGAATGCAGCGTTGCCAAGTTATGATTTTTCGGAGAAAAAAATGGACCAAAAAATACTTTGTTAAAATTGTCATATGTCCGCCACTGCACATTAATTTCCCTCAAAAATTTACATGTAGTCTAATGTTAGCCTAGTTGATGCTATTTTATCTTCATTTTTCGATTTAATTATACAGGGTGTCCAAAATATTTGTCTAAACACGTCAATGTTAAAGTCCATTTCAATTGAGTTTTTCAAATACAACACCCCGTATATTATTTCTCTATCGAAAAGCTGAAAATGTTCTCTTTCAGAAAATATCATATTTGCCGTATCTATCTCATTAATATATTGAGATATTGAGATTTTCCCTTAACTTCGCACAAAAAACGGTAAAAATTAAGTAATTTGGTAGTTTTACCTGGAAAGTTTTTCGGGAGTTTTGAAAATTTTATAGGTTTAAACGTGTTCTTTCCGAATTTCTACTTTGCCTACTCGTATTTTTGCCGCTCGCGCTGCCATATTGAAAAATTTCGCCAAAAAACAGGTTTTTCACAATATCTCTTTTCCTTCTCATCAACATAAAAATATAGTTATCTAATATCTAAATTGAACTTTGAACTAGAGAAATTTTTCCTATAACAAACCTTCTCATTCTGTAAAATGAATAGTTTCAGCGTAAGAGTGCGTCAAACCAACATACAGCTAAACCAACACGTGTTTGTCCGTTTGTCGTATAATATCGTATATTCCACCACGTACCTATTTTAAAACCGGCTTACTACGGTCTGTTCTTCCTCCGCAGGTATAAAGGAATTCACTGTAAACTTTGTGGCACTGTCATGGCATGGAGCCCTCCTCTCTCCCTTCTACGAGCCATCTGCTGGCGGAGTTCAAGTATTTTGTTCGAATCATCAGTACCTACCTATAGTCCAACACATACCATTTTAAAGTCACGTGATTTTTCTCTATCCTTGTTGAATACATCTCAAACAGCGGTGATAGTAAAATTGACAAAAAAATTGCTGTCTAATTATTGTTCATAAAATTCTTACCTGAAATAGAATCCGTCACTGTCATCAATTAGTTTGTCAAAGTTATTTTAGAAAATGATACAACGAACAAACACAGCTAATAATTTTGACTATATTAACCTTTTTCCAACTCAAAAAGATGCAAATAGAAATCGGGTACCCAATTCAAGTTCAGAATTTATTACAAGGGGCAGCAGAAGCGACAAAAGTGAGTCTCGCAACAATTGCAAGTATTAAAATTCTCATCTGATTGGTCAATACTACTTCAGAAACGCGTTTGTAAAATGCTTTAGGGAACATATCTTAAAATTCAATAGTAATTAACCACAAGTAGCTTTTTGTAGGTGATATCAACGACATAATCAACGAACATACGTTTTTTGCCACCAATATCACGTGACTTTAAAATGGTATTTGTCAGACTATACCTACATGTTTATTGTTCTAGTGTCGTTCGTATTTTTATAGTCATTATTTCTAAGGAAGGAAACTGTTTTATTTGTGAAGATTCATTGCAAGGCAATAAAGTGAAGGATTATCATGTCTTTCCGTATGTCAAGTGCTCAAAAAAAAAGAACAACAAAGGTAAACTCTTGGACAGACTTATATTGATAGTGGTTCAAGATGTATGTCGAAAACGGTATAATAACGAGAAATCAATTGCTGATGCATCTTTACGTATAGGAAGAATCCACAACAGCGATCCACGTACCCAACATTCTCATTCAGAGATCAGTGTTTTTTTTTGTGCGCTGCCGAGATATCAGCAGTTACTGACGGAAACCTAGTAATACCACAACTAATCGACAACGAAGCTGTTAATCCCATCGAAGATGATGTGGAAGAAACTATCTGTATTCGATGAGTTCCGAAGACGATATCGATAAACCCGCAACACCTAGTCCATCAAGAATAGCGAAGCGATGGAGAATGCGCTAAATATTGTAATAACCGCGCCATTCTACCTCATGGTGGGGTGGAAATTAGTTTTCTGGCCAAAACACATGTTGAGTCGAATTTGCAGCACGCGTACGCTAAAACTAGGTATTCATTTTTACTTCCCTCGTCAAAGGGAAGTATTTGTATTCACGTAAAAAATCGACCTAGAGTTTTTTTTCACATTAATATGTTTTCAGGTCCCTAGATTACGAAAATCATGTTTTCCCAATTTCGTCGGTCTGTCGGCGCTTTACAGTCCGACAGACAGACATGTCGGTCTGTTGGCGCTCCAGCTCAATAACGGCTCAACCTAGAACAACGGTTTTTGGTATACACTTTGAACCGCTACCGGCGGCGCTAAGGTAAGGGTTTCTGTTCGCAGATATACAGGGTGTTCCAAAAAACCATGCGACACTAACAAGAACGGTTGATAATACGAAGTTGGTTACATTAGCAAGAAGGTACTGTTCTTGGAACTCACTAAAGCTACGTTTTCGTTTTTGTTGTTTTTTTTTTATTCCTTTTCAAGATATAAGGCCTTTTGTGTTCCAACATATTTGGTCGTATATTTTCAAAACTACTCATTTCAGAAGAATCGTTCAAATTTGAACGTTCGCTAGGTTCATCGGCTACAACAAGATTGGGACCTGAAAGTTTGAATCCGACGTTTCGCTTTCGGTGTGTCATTATCAACTTTGTATTTTTAAATACTGAGTCAGGATTTTTATTTTATGTTTCAATTAAAAAAACAAAAACATTTAAATGATGTTTATTCAAAAAAGGGTGAGGTGGTTTACCGAGGGAAGTCGTGGATAAAGGCCTTCACTAATTTTTATAACTATTTTCATGTTAATGAGAAGGAAAGGAGATATTGTGAAAAAACCTGTTTTTTGGCGAAATTTTTCAATGTGGCGGCGCGAGCGGCAAAAATACGAAGTGGCAAAGTAGAAATTCGGAAAGATCACGTCTAAACCTAAATATTATTGAGATAGATACGGCAAATATGATATTTTCTGAAAGAGGACATTTTCAGCTTTTCGACAAAAAAAATAATATACGGGGTGTTGTATTTGAAAAACTGAATTAAAATGAACTTTAAAATTGACGTGTTTAGACAAATATTTTGGACACCCTGTATAAATAAATCGAAAAATGAAGATAATGTAGGAGCAACTAGGCTAAAATTAGATTACATGTAAATTTTTAAGGGAAATTAATCTACAGTGGCGGAGATATGACAATTTTAAAAAAGTAAGTTTTGGTCTATTTTTTTCATCGAAAAATCATAACTTGGCAACGCTGCATTCAACCCAAATACGATTTTAGAGTTGAATACAGAGCACATAGAGGCTTCATTTGCCACATAAGAACATACAGTATTACATTTAAAGAAAACATTTGTGATTACTCTTTTTTGAGACACCCTGTATATTTGAAAACAATTTTGAGTTATAGCAGAGATGAAATGCTCAAACTTTAATACAGAACATTTTTCCATAGGTTCAACGGTTTGGCTACTATTGACCGAGGCGCGCTGTACATATACATATATATTTTAACACTCAGGCTTTAATAACATCAAGGCTTCAATTTAATAAACAAAAATGAGTGTAGACAGTTGTTACAATTATTTTTGGATTACCTCTTTTTTCAGATTTATTTAGTTGTGCATTTTTTGATAAAGTTCATTTGAGGATTTGGATCTTAAAATTTAAATCTTCTGGCACCTACTACAGACACTTCTTACTCACCCTAATTTTGCTCTCTGGCGAACAGCTGCCACTGTAGTACACTTTTTTGTTAAAAAAGAGGCTACAATACCTTCTAACTCACTCTCATACCAACGATAACCGCCGAAGGTTGCCATTGGTCTTCACAACTAACAACTTAAAGTTGATGAAAGACTTAACCGACAAGGTAGAAATGAAACAGGTCTTGGTAGCTCAGTTGGTAGAGCGTTGCACTGGATATGCGAGGGTCCTGCGTTCAGATCCTGGACGAGACAAGAAAATTTTTCATCGATTTTAATTGAAACGTCTGTATGCCGCAAAAATCCAACACACTGTAAATTATATACCTACCAGATGATAAAACTTGTAGAAATTATCAATTACTATTTGATGGAAGAGCGCCTTGCCTTGCCAATGGAATTCAAGAAAGCTGGCAAGGTTACCTACATTCTAAATTATTCAAAAATAGCTTAGGGCTGGCGACTGTTATACGTGGATGTCATTTGTATACAATAGGGGCAGTCTATCAAATTCTCAAGGATGAGTTTTTTTATGATAGAGACACAAGCATTCCATCAATAACTTTTTATTATAGTAGGATAGCCGATTCTTATTCGTTTCAATACCGTCCGGTTTTTGATCGATCAGCTGAAAATTTGACTAAGGTACGTAGAGGGGCATGTTGCTGGTTATGAGGTTTCTGGCAAGCGAGATTGCCTTATATGTAGGAACAGCAACATCAAAAAATGATAATGTCGATTACATCCCCGCCAACATGGAATAAAAAACATTGCTGTTACAAATCATCGATAACTGTAACAGTCACAATCGCAAAATTATAAAACATCTCAGAAGTGGCATATTGACCTAAATATTCTTTGCCTAAATATATTCATGATCCACGGTAACCCTTCCTACAATTAAAAATTTATGAATACCCCAATCGATTCAGCAAGGGCGATCCAACCGCGAAGAGTGTGGCTAGAGGAATTAGTTATTATTATAATTTCAATACCCAAACGCGTTAGTTAAGGTTAGACACTACACCACCCCCTCCCCTTCCCACGGATTTTCCGCCCTTGTGATTCAATAGGTGCCATGCCAGATCTGTTCTACTGTGTAGTTAGCTATAGTTCATACCAAATAACTTTTAGTTATGACATCGATGACGCCATTTTCAGAATCGGTATCGTTAACCATAAAAATATTCAGCGTCGGACTAACTTAATTGGAATTTAAATTTCCCGCTGGCGATTCAGTTTTGGTAAGCACTACTCTAAAAAATGTACCGTTGCCAAATTAATTTCTTCACATTTTGATTGAGTTTTATCAGTTTACGAGTTCTTGGTTTAATTGCTATTTTGAGCATGTTTTTTTTTAAACAGACGGCAACGCTGTATCGGCCGATCGACTAAAAGTTTATTTGATATGAACTATATAAACAATTTCCAATATATTAAATTCTTACCGAGTAGGTTTGGGTTTATACCCATTAGGCACCGGACTAGGCAACATTCTCCCACCTCTCCCCAACTGCACAGCTTGTTCAAAGCTGAGCGGCGCTTGTGGATTATCCCCCATCATACTGCGATTGTGCGGGTTAGCTGTAATCGCCGTTAAGGGCGCAGCCGTTAGAGAAGGTGGCACAACAAATTCCCTGAGGGGCTCCCTATCCCTCGGGAAACTGTGCGGGTACGACGAGTGAGGTGTAGCGTGAGCCGAATGGGATTGTATCTAGGTAGATAGTCATTTTTCAAAAATTTGTTTGTACTAGCTAATTGCAAAACAACTCATCCCAGATGCGATAAAGTTTTTAAAGTTTGGAAGTTAGATGCCTGAGATGCGAGTGGTATGCACCAAATAAATGTTAAATTACAATTTAACATGGTATTTATTAGTCTTAGTTCTTACATGTGTTGGACTAGCGTTCAGTTTTGGAAAATTTATTGTCCCCGGCTTCAGTTGCAACGTGGACGGTTTACAAGGGGTGGGCGGCAGCCTTCGACCTTGACCTCTTCGACCTCCTAACACTGGGTGGCTGTGCTGCACCGAGCCTTGATGGGCGGCACTGTGCTGCATCGGTATACCTACCACAGCACCGGCTGTAATATTAGAAAAAAAAGCGGCTGGTGCGGTTAGTAATTTGGGTAGTGCACATTAAGGGTGGGACTGGGATGCAATTAGGTGCAAATCTATGTTCTACCTACGACTTTTAAAGGAAATTTCAATAAAATTTAAAGTTAATATTTTTATTAGGTTTAAAACTTGTTAGTACTCTTAATAACAAGAGTGAGGTATATGAGTAGGTATTCTTCAGTCTTGAACAAGCAATAGTGTCAAGCACTTCAGAAAATGCAAATGAGGCAAACTGTTGAAGTAGGAAAATTTTGAAGGTTCTCAAGTCACTTGAGATATGGCTGAAAGCTTGAAAATAAATACCTTAGTAACGTATATCGTTTTTACTTATTATACCGCTTGCAATGGCAGAACCCAGAGTCACGCCAATTGGACATGGAGGTGCCCAGAGTGAAAAAATTAGGAATGGCTTCGCTCACTTCCTTAAATGCTTCTAACAGCGGACGTGACCATAGACTAGTCAATTTTAGATCCGAACGGTTCAAAATGATGAGGTATTTCTATTTTTACATCAAAAGAAATTTATGCGACGTTGAATATCGGGAAGAATATTGGAGCCGACATAAATCAATGAATAACTCAAAATCGGAGATCTTATGGACAAAATTCAAACTGAGGTCTGCAAAAACGTATGTGGAAAGTTAAAGGACTCTGGTAAAAAAAAATTTACCCACGGTACAGGAAACATTGGAGAAGAACGCAAATATGAATGTTTCAGGAACAAACCTCACAAAATAGAGAAGGAGTCTGCCCAACAGATGAAAAATTGAAATTCCCTAGTAGGTGGAAGAACTGTCGAATAAATGCTGTATTATAACCAATGAAATATACCTTATACTACACGTAACTGGAAGGGACCTAACAGCTGCTTTCAATGTCCATTTTTGAGTCAAATTTTATGGTGGTGAGAACGAAAATAAAAGGGGTTGTTTGCTATGTCGCATACGTACATGTTTACGAGCTATGGTATAATAAATTCACCTAGCATTTTCTAAGAATGCGCAAGACAAAGACGGCCACTCCTTTTACTATATCGAAAATTTGCCTCAGGCGTGATAAATACTGGTGCCATTCCATTTACGTAGTATACAATTCACTGATCAGAACTGATGAAGATGCCTAATTTGCGAGATCATCTGTATAAACTACTCACCTGTTTGGTAACAAATCGCATATCGAACAAATTTGACTTTTATTAACCTGTGATATATTTTACTGATGCTATGGACATGGAAATCACGATAGAAAATAAAGCTTTGTAAAATGTTCGAGAATATAAGAATTTGGCCACACAATTTTTAAACCAGGAAAATAACACCAAGCATCAGAGATAAGATGCCAGTGGAAATTCATAACAAACTTTGGAAGGCAAACAAACCTAGAAACGAAAAGTTTAAAACATACCTATGTGTCTTGTTTTTTTTTTTCCACCACATATGGCCTTGAAACCATGTCACTTACCAAGCGAAGCGGAAATGTACTGAGACATTCAACGAGCTATCATGATGATACCTAATACTATCTAAGTAAGCGGTAAAGTACGGAATGACGCAATTTGGACAACAATATTGGGCGACTAAAGTGGCAGTAGGCAAAACACATCTCTGAACAACCTCTGGGAATATAGTTAATGAAGCTACTCAATTGATGGCGCCACTCGTGGATTAAATAGGTCATGGATTCCTATTGACAATATCCGAAAGTAAGCCGGAAACAACTTGGTTTCACGAAGTAACTATCCGAAGTCAATGGAAAATTCTGGCAGAGGCTAATATCCAGGAATGACGTCTTTGAGCTGAGAAGAAGAAAAACAAGAAGTCGTTTTGAGGAAAGGATTTTTTTTCTACACCAATCTGACCAATCACACTTTCCTCCAAACGTAGCTATAACTTGTGATTTATAGTTTTAAGGTACCTACTCTAACCACACAAACTACAATGGATCAAAAGAAATTCGTGCGCCATGACTTCAAAGATCAAATGTGTTCCTATTGAGCAAACTTGGTATATAGAAACACACTTTAAATATCCAAAATGTACAGTAGCTATCAAATATAGTAGGTCCACACTGATCATACTCGTCTATGATTCTCTCACTACATCAAAGTATCGCAATGATGGTTCAATAGAGTTTGGTGTGGTTAGTTATTAAACATTCGCTTCTAACCTATACCGGGTGTCTACGAGATCAGTTTCGCGCTGGCATTTGCTGTTTTTTTTTTTTCGATGGCAAAGATTTTTGGTATAGAGTGTGAGTTTGAGAAATGTCATAATTTGACATGTGTGTCAATGTTTGGTAACTTCCGGTTTGACCGGAAATGGTCCTAACTCCGTAATTTTGAATGGCATCCCAATAATTTTTTCGCATTTTTGGTATCTGCGGATCATGATGTGTACGAAAACGTCAAATTTGAACATTTTTGAAGAAGTTTTAGAACTCTGGATGAAAATTTATTTTTGAACAGAAAGTGACGGAGCGGTCTTAAATTGTTATTTTCAACCCACACAATCGTAGAAAAATGCGAGTGCCAAGATGTTATCCTTTGCTTGCTCTCCAAAGGCATCCAAAGTTGAAAAAATCACATTTTGCGTGATAACTCAATGAAATCAGTGAAATCACCCAACTTTCACAACAAGAGTTTTTTACCTTTTTCAAAATAAAACGAACTATGCACATTGAAACTTTTCATTTATGTTAGTTTTTAATTATTTTCTTACTATTTTTATAATGCACTACTATAAATGATAGAACTACTTATAAATGAACCCCTGTATGAAGAACGCTTTTCAAAAGGAGCTAGTGTTTTTTTTTTTTTTTTCTTGACAAGCCATTGACAAGATCTGTGCGCAAGATATGTTTATTTGTCATTGTTTGACATCTCGGGAATTTGTAAATACAAAGTTTGAATACAGGGGTTTATTTATAAGTAGTTTTATTAGTTATAGTAATGCATAATGAAAATATTGGAAAAATAATTGAAAACTGGCATGAATAAAAAGTTTTAATGCATAGTTGGTTTTATTTTAAAAAAAGTAAAAAACATTTGTCATGAAAGTCGGGTGATTTCACTGATTTCATTGAGTTATCACGTAAAATGTGATTTTTTCAGCTTTGGAAGCCTTTGGAGAACAAGCATAGGATAATAACTTGGTATTCGCATTTTTCCACGATTGTGTTAGTTGAAAATAACAATTTTAAGACCGCTCCGTCACTTCCTGTTCAAAAATAAATTTTCATCCAGAGTTCTGAAATTTCTTCAAAAATGTTCAAATTTGACGTTTTCGTACACATCATGATCCGCAGATACCAAAAATGTGAAAAAATTATTGGGATGCCATTCAAAATTACGGAGTTAGGACCATTTCCGGTCAAACCGGAAGTTACCAAACATTGACACACATGTCAAAAGATGACATTTCTCAAACCTACACTCCATACCAAAAATTTTTGCCATCGAAAAAAAACTCACCAAATGCCAGCGCGAAACTGATCTCGTAGACACCCGGTACTTCCAAGATAAAACAAAATATGTCTACTATGACAGCAAACTAGACTTTTACTACGCATTCTCAAGCTTACCAATAAACGGTGGACCCTGATGGTGCGAATGCGTCGTCGGATGCGTCGTCGCAGTAGTCGGTCGCGACGTAGGATGCGACGGACTAGGCGATCGCGATCTCTGACACAAACTGGTGGTACCATAGGCGCCACATCTTCTAGACGATCTAATTGGTCCATAGCGGGGATTGTGTCGGTACCCGTTTGTCGGCGAAGGCGACCTGGCAGGACTAGTAGAGGCTGACCACGAACCTAGTGCAGAAAATTCTTAAGGACACCTTTATGAAGGACTCGGGTGCGATTTTTCTGGTTATAGGCCAGGCGTCAGGAAGTTCAGCGAACGCAAATATGGTTTAAAATCGAAAAAAAAAAAAAACTATTGTAGCACGACATACATACGACATGTGTATTAAGACTACGAAACATATCCAAGAGACTTTTATGACCGAAAAAAAAATGAAAGAGTTTTATGGTTAGGTACAACTTTAGGTTTGATATTAAACAATATGCATATGCACAGGAATCAAATAGGAAACTTAATTGATTACATATAATTACCAATTTATTTTGCATAATTAGGTGTAATACACAACCCAATTACCGCATAATAAATTAAACCAAATACGTGCAAATATTATCTTTTCGAAATTCCAAGTTTTCAGGAACCAAGTTCACCAACATCAGTGAAGGCATAATGGTAATTGTCTCCATCTTCATTCCCGCATAGGAACTGTCCGAAGCAAACAATGCCATAATAAGGGCACTGTCAACAATTCTATGGCTCGACTCGTACTGCTGATGAGCTCTGTTTACTGCTCTCTCGCCAAAACCATCACCCTCCATAGCATCGAAAATCTTTCCGATAGCGATGACAGGATTTTCGCGACCTAAATGCCGAATGCAAAGAACGGGAATGCAGAGGTGTAAATTCTAGCAGAATTTCCCTCCACTTGCTCTTCCCGCGGATTACCCGAGATCCTCGATATTTTTATCACAAAAAAATATCAACAGAATCTTTGAGCATCAGATATTCCATAAAATTCCAACTGACCACCTTCCTCTTGTGGTTATTGAATTGGATGCAATCTCTGCAAATATGTTGAACACTTTTCAATTACCAATTAGTAACATTATCCGACAACAAAACCTTTCCTCTCGACTCGTGCTCTGGTACAAAAACTAAAAACTCCAAATACGGCATTCCCCCACCAGAGTTGGAGCAACTAATTCAGCATAAGAGCCGAGTCAAAAAGCGCGCTTATAGCACCGGTGTCCCCGTTTTGAAAACAAAATTAAATCAACCAGCTGTTCAAATCAGTTAAATTCAAGTCAAGTCAAGTCCAACCTCTTTGCCCAAACTTTCCAAGATCAGTTCAATACCAACCAAACCACTAACTTCGACACAGAGATGCGCATGAGCTCCGCCGTTTTAAAATACATTTATTTTGTCTATCACTAAAATTCATTGATTTTGTCTATCACCAATTCCAGCTAGTCACCTTGGGAGAGGTGAAGAATATTGGATTTCCCTGGCAAGATCTACTCACATATGGTTAGGATCTTCAATGCCATGCTGCTCTTGGTTCAGTTCCCCAAAAAGAGGAAAAAATTCAAAGTAGTAATTATCAAAAAGTCGCGCGAAAAACCCTACATCTGCAATCCACCTTCCTCCAAACCTGGAGAAAGTGATCAAAACATGAGTAATTCTCACCTCTGGGTAGTGAAGTTTGCAAATTATTAAATAATATCATACATTTTCCTGAACTGCTCTCAGCTATGAACATAAACGTTCTCAGAAATTCAAGACGAAGAAGTACGTTCTGGAGTATTATGGTATGGACAGTATAATTGAACTGTAACAGTAAGGCTATTGAATTCATTAAACAAGGAGGCCCCACACTAACGCCCCACACTAAGGGCCGTTATTTCAATGTCACCATTGTCACCTTAAGGTTCAGAATAACGTTAAGTCATCCTTAATACAAGTTTTACCGTATATCAAAGTTCCCTTAATTCAAGGTGGATCTTAGGGCCGGTATTTCAATGTCACCTTAAGGCAGTGATGCCAACTCTAGGGATTTGTCCCCAGTTCTAGGGATAAATATGGAAAAAAAATTGTCTAGGGATATAGGGAAATTCTAGGGGTTTTCTGATATTTTTAATTTTTTTTACACAATTTAATTAATTCTGAAAAAATAAACATATAAAATAATATCATTATAAATTCTTCAAAAAATCGGAAGTCACCTTATTATTGGTTCGTCTGAGTAATTACATACAACATACACTTTGGCCAATCATAAAACTGGTACGCTTTTCCTATAGTGTTGTATTGTGTAAATTGACCTTTTTTATCACCTAAACAAGTGCTCTTTGCCTTTTGTGTAACGTGATGTGTGTGGGGATTCCCGCAACAATGGCGTCGAATCCGAATCAGGAGACATCAGTCTGTCGTCACTATCGTTACCAGTGACGTCATAACAATGTTTTATTGCTTTTGGAAATTTTGTGTTGTTTTTTAAAAACTTGAAGATTAGTGCGATTAGTTTTGAAAATATGATTTTTTTTTCTTGTAAATTACAAGTATCACAATACATATTACAATTATTATTAGACTGTAATAATAATTCTGAAATGAATTTGAAAAAAATAAATTCTAGGGAATTCTAGGGATATTTTTTTTCAAATCTAGGTATTTTCACATCCCATCAGTTGGCAACACTGCCTCCCAGAGACACAGTCTGACTTTAGACCCAACTGAGATACATACATCTGACATGATTTTCAGTGCAAGACAAATGCAAGGGAAATCCAGGGAACAAAATTGACCTCTTTTTCATAGATTTAGTGACAGCATTTGATCCGGTCCATAGAGAAGCTCTTTGGAAGATTTTGGCAAAGGTTGGGTGTCCGCAAAAGAATTTTCAGATACTTTGCCTGCTGCATAATAATATGAATGCAGCCGTCCTAACGATGGAAAAAAGATCTTTTTCAAATAACTGCAAGCGTTCAACAGGGCTGTGTTATTGTACCCTTTTTATTTTCTCTATTTACAGGATCCATACTGCACCTTTTCGAGAGTCACCTGCCGTCAGGAGCGGAAATCCTGTACAGACTTGATGGCGGCTTATTCAACCTAAACAGATTACGAGCCAAGACGAAAGTATCGACGACATCGATAATGCGGGTGATAACGGCGTGATTTTATTTTTATTACCAATTAGTAACATTATCGGACAAATAGTTTGTTCCCCTGGTGATACAAAGTAAGAATTTTTGAGTCTGGCTAAAATTTTCGGATGGGTTCACAAGATCAATGAAAAATACAACTACGCTTATTTTCGCAGATATAAATATTTCACATTTACTACAATAGAACATAAAGTATATGAAAATAGCAATTTGGCTTATCTCAGATAGTGAGAGTGAGTCTGGCTGAAAACTTTCGGATCTTCAATTTTTCACTTGCCAGACATATTATTCATACTCACAGATTAGCCGGACTATTTTTTTACGTAACTTCAGTATACTTCTCATTAGTAGACCTATTTTTATCACTGAGAAAAAAAAGGGCCGTGCATTCGTAAGCTTTAAGGCATTTTGCGCCTCAACCCATCGGAAAACCCCCGTATTTTGCACTAACCCAAACTAACCCTACAATTCTATCCAAGTTGCCTGACTGGGAAAATAAGTACCGAAAATCGTCACTGCCTCCTAGACTATTATTTACATTTACGGGTTTATTTATATACATGAAATGGGGAAAATTATGTAGTAAGCTGCCTTTTTGGCTAAACAGCCGTCGTCATGGTGGAGGGGTGGGTAACCTTACGTGCCAATGTGATTGGTTATTTCCACTGTCCTTGTGGCAGTGAAAAATTTTCTTGTTCTCTCCAGCTGTGTCTCTGAGAGTGGTCGGAGGATGCTGTTGGCGTAGACACGCTGGTTGATCCAGTATTAATCCCAGGTTATTCCCAGCGCCGCGCCGTCCTCCCCCTCTTGGATTCGGGTCCAGCCAGTTTGGTTTGGTTGTAGTTGGCGACGGAGCTCCAAACTGGGTAGGCGTACATTATGATTGGTCTGATGTGCGCCTTGTAGATCCTCTGCTTTGTGGTGGAATCTAACCTAGAATTTTTGGAGATAAACGGATATATGCCTTTGGCAGCAATGCCACCTTTTCCTCGCAGATTAGTGATGTGCGATTTGAAAGTGAATTTTCGATTGAGTTTCACTCCTAAGTATGTGACCTCGTCAGTTGCCGTGATGATGGTTCCATTGATCCTTAGTGTGCCCTGTTGGGGGCCATTTTGTGGTTGAAATCGACCAGTTGTGTCTTGGACTCGTTAATTTTGAGCTTCCACTCTGGACTTTGTTGGTCGATATTGCTGGTCTTCTTGAAATTGTGGAAATGACGATGTCATCTGCGTAGAGGGCTATCTGGGTATTGTCGCTTTTGGGGACGTTGTTGATGTAGACATTGAATAGTGTTGGAGCGAGGACACTGCCCTAGCTAAGTCCATGGTGGATCCCTCTCTTATCGAATGCTGAACCGTTAATGATTACTCTAAACGTTCTGTTGGTTGAGTAGTTTGGTAATGTTAGTCAGCTTTGTAATGGCCTCGTCAATTTCGTCTGTGTTGGTAAGGTTTCTGGATATTATCGTATCTCGGTTATTCGTCCGTTTGTAGTTTGTCCAGTCAGCGTTGGCGTAGATTCAGCAGGGGGTTTGAGTCTTGTGCCTTGGTTGATTTCGAATATTACTGGTAGGTGGTCGGATGCCAGTTCTAATATGGTGGTTGCTGTGGCGAATATGTCTTTTATTATGGCAATATCCAGAGTGGCATCTTGTCCGTCGCGTGGGGCAATCCTGGAATCTGGAGCAACAATCTGGAATGTGGATGTATCCAGGAGTCTCTCGAGGTCTCTTCCTGCTGTATTGTCAACCGGATTGTACCAGTTAATGTGTTTCGAGTTTAGATCCCCAACCCGGATGCATTTTGGGTGGTCCGTAAGTACCAGGATTTCCCGTGAGTTGAGGGGAACGCTTGGTTTTTTGTAGGGGGCAATAACCTTAATGCCTTGGGTGAATATAGCCACTTATTCTATATCTGCGGTGTTGCTTATTGCTTCCTCGAAATCCAGATTTTCGCCAATATAGATAGGTACTCCGCTGGCTGGATGGCGTATGAGTTGGTCTGGTCTGTTTCTATATACATATATATTGGTATCCCGGTATTTTAGGCGGCGCGGCG